CATGTCCTTGTTTTCGCCTCTTCACGTCTCCCCTGTGCCTTCTAGAAGAGTTCTTGGCCTAGATCTGTATTGCCACATGACCCATTTATTGGGCTACTTGCTGTAACCGTTATATTGTTCGTGATATTTTGTCTTGCTCTTCATGTGACCCAGGGGGTGATGTTCACCCCCACCCCGGGGACACTCGGCAGCATCTAGACACACTTTTTGTTTTACCTGGAGGTGGGGGTGCTGCTGGTGTCCGGCAGGCAGAAGTCAGGGATTCAGCTTAACTCACCATGGGGCGCAGGCCACACCCCCACCACAGGACCTAGTCACTCCACCCAAAACGTCAGTACTGCCAAGGTGACAAAGCCCCGGTGTAAACAGCATGCGCCCTGTCCTCTGAGGACGCGTGGCCATGTGGACTTTCCCTGTGATGCGTCTCCCCCTCTCCGTATGGCCTGAGTCCAGCTCCTTGCTCAAGGGGGAGCTGCGCCTCCTCCCCATCACATTGCTCGTCTTCACGAATCTGTGTTTCCCGGGAGATGCCAGCTCTCAGGAGAGGCCGAGCCAGCCTGGCGGACGGCGAGGGACTCGGCGCGGGAGGCCTCGGGTGTTACCGTGTGGCATCATCGCCCCGTTTGCCAGCACTCTTGCACACACAGACATGCACCCTTCAGGAAACCTTCCTGCAGTCAGTCTTTGCCCTAGACAGGCCTCTTCCCAAAGTGTCGTGGGGAGAGACAAACATACAAATAAAAGGTTTTCAGGGCAGGCACGGTGGCTCACACCTGTCATCCCAACACTTTTTTTTTTAGTTGGAATGTTACTCTTGTCACTCAGGCTGGAGGAGTGCAGTGGCACACTCACAGCCACCACAGTCTCGACCTGCCGGGCTCAGGCGATCCTTCCGCCTCAGCCTTCCGAGTTGCTGGAACCACAGGCATAGGCCACCATGCCTGTCTGATTTTTTTATTTATTGCAAAGATGAGGTCTTGCCAAGTTGCCCAGGCTGGTCTCAAACCCCCAGGCTCAGGCAGTCCTCTCACCTCAACCTCGCAACGTGCTTGGATGACAGGATGAGCCACCGTGCCCGGCCTGCACCTGGCTCTCTTCTGTATTCTTTTTTTTTAATTTTAAAGATGTGGAGTACAATTCAGGGTTAGGCATACAAACGTTGATTATGCAGGTAGCCTTGTTTCTTCTTTTGTAATTTTTTTTTTTTTTTTGAGTTGGAGTCTCACACTGTCGCCCAGACTAGAGC